TAACTTAGCTTACTGTTTCTTTAATCTACACAAATCATTCAACTACAAGATACTCCTCCGGTTCTTAATATAAGACCATTTAACTAATTTGATTAGATTAAGGAAGTTAGGTAAGTTAGTTAATTATAAGAAAGTGACACATTTTTCCTAAAACACCATAATCATCTTTCTTAATACCACATCTCCCTCTTCTACTTGATTATAGTTGAGGGAGTAATCATAGGGTAATTTAGAGAAAATTGATAATATAATAAAATAGGTCTTATATTTAGGACCAAAACCAACTCAAGAATTGGGTTTTTATATTAAGGACCGGAGGAGTATAAGAAACGGAGGTAGTACACTACGAAATACAATGTTATGGTATTTCAAGGCCCCCCCCCCCCCAAAAAAAAGCTGAAGGATATGGTTCAAAATTAAAAAAATGGAAAATAAAGAAGCATGACAAGATGACGATTTTGTAGGGACCATATCAAACGAAATAAAGAATTGCGTTCTCAAGCTAGAAGTGACAACCCCTCTTTCTCAATAAAATGGACAAACCTCTAACTGGCCAATGGGAGGCTCATCTCAAATTCCCTGACCTGCTTCGCCAAGGCTACTTTTGTCCATAATTGGGCCTTCCTGCTTCCGTATCGGATGTTCTTTCTTTCTGCCGCTTTGCTTGGAAACCACGAAATTAAAAAATTACTCCTCCGATCCTAATTATAAGACCCAATTAACTTATTTGAAGAGATTAAAGTAAGTAGTTAGTTGGTTATTTATAATAAATAAGTGTTGTTATTCCTAAATATCCTGTCTAATTAAGTATATTGGCTAAAACTATCATTATAGAAGGATTATCTTGGAAAAAAATGCATAAATATAAAAGAGAAAGGATTGGGTCTTATAATTAGGACCAAATAAAAAGTCAAATTGGATCTTATAATAAAGACCGGAGGAGTATTAGAAAGCAGCCCAGTTTAAAATTTGATCATTCGAGGATGCTGTAAGGAAACTTCCCCATCTTACCCCTGGCCCCTCCGTCCATCGCATGAAGAAAGTGGAAACTGAACCTGTTTGGGATCGCGTTACACGATACCAAACGCTCATTTGAAAGCTCAAACGAATTTCTGCCTAAATTTTATTGTTTGGGATCACAGTGGAGCAAATAGGCTTCTCATAAAAAATCAGATTGAATGAGAAGCTCAAATTGTTGCTTCTTCACTTCTCAACCGTGGAGAGAGAAAACTAAAGATGAAAAAAGAAAAGGGGTATTTAAATGGTCCCACTTAATTCAATAATTTTATGTTTATAAAAACATTATATGAAAAAAAACAAAATAAGATTTAATTTGGAGAGTTTACTTTTAATAATTTTATTTTTCTTACATCTTTTAAAATAGTTACATTATTATATAATATTATATATGTATTATTTAAAAAATTCATATCCTTTTAAGTCATTTTACATCCAACTTACTTCACATTTATCATCCAAATAAGTTTCAGCTTCTCAACACTGACTTTTTTTCAAAATCCAATTCAACATAAATCACATTACCCTATCTGACTTTTTATCCAATCTGACTTCTGTAAAAATCAGATTGAAAAAAAGCTACCTCCATTGCTAATCAGAGGGGGTGTTTGGATAGAAACCAAACCATGGTTTCAGAAGTGCTTTTACTTTTACGGATTACGAAGTAATATGTGAAGGAGATTATCTCGTTTTACGAAAAAGTACTTCTGAAACCATGGTTTTGGGTTTTCCAAACACCCAACACACCCTCAAACGTGTAAGCTAACGTGAAAAGGAGCTCTTGCGTCCCTTCCCGGTCGCAACTCCACTCTCCAGACTCTCCAAATGCTTCAAAGGTCACGTGTCGGTCAGGCAAAGCCTTTACGCGTGTGGGACGAACGCTTCTCCAGAACCGTGTGGTAGGCGGAACTACACGTGTCCGGTAACCGACTGTTTACCGTTCTGCCCTCCTCCTCTGCTCGACCTCCTCCCTCTGCTCTGACCCCTTATGTGGCGGTTCAACCCCTCCCTCCCCAATTTTGATCCCATCACCTCGACTTTGAAGAAACTGCAAGGGAATTCCTGAGCAAGAACCGCAGGAGGAACGCAGAGTGTCGTCTATTTGTCCTGACAAAACAACATTTAGCTCCAAGAGTTTTCTGCAAAACGTTCAATTCTTGACGTTTCATCTGATTATGGTGGCTGAAGCAGACGTTGTTTATCAACAGAGCCTGCTCTGTTGGATGTACAGTATATTCCCAAAGCAAGCAGTATTCATGAGATCGAAGAGCCACCCTTCGTCTCGCCATCATCCGGCCCTTCTGGTCCTGACAAACTTCTTCGCGCATATGACGCAGTCTCTGCCCATTTACTGAATTCACAACAAGTGATTTCTTCAGCACCCTTCTCGTGTTTTCATTTATATCTTTCTTCTTTTCCATGACATGGACGTTAGCGAATTGTGAGCTAGTACTTTTGTTGTTTTTGCTTCCGATCGAAGGTGTTCACCACGTAGGTTTCGTTTCTAGTTTCTACCCCGTTCCCTCGATTGCTTCATCAGGAACTTGTGCATATTATGAGCTTAGCTGATGAAGATACCTGAACTCTGCGAGGTTCATCTAGATTACTCCATGTTTGTTGTAGGAATACCATCCCTCCGGCACCTTTTCCTTCAGAGAGGCTTGAGCGACTTCCCGACTTGGTCCATGTAGTATCCGGTATCCGGTATCCTATAATTGCTTATATCTGTTCATATCAAATTTATTCACTATGGTAATAGAAGTTGTGATGAATGTATGCGAGGGAAGCGGTCCCGGCCTGCTTCCCTGCTTTTTAGGTGCCCAGATAGATTTTGGCACGCGGTATCTGTTGCTTACGAATGAGTGTTAAAAGATAGGTTTTCCCTGATTACTTTGTAAATGTTCGTGATTTTGCAACGTTACAAGAACTAGTATGTGACCCGTGCTACATTGTTAAAATTGAAATTTTTACTTTTGATTAGAGAATCGCAGGAAACTTCATGGGTTGTAGGACTGTTCAATGTGATGCATAAGTTATGCCAACTCTTACATAACTGCCTCCCATGCGCAGAGTAAAATTTTCTGATTCGTGTTAAACTACCCTTGTGCAGGACGTTTTAGCTGCAAAACAAGTCCCCCGTGCTTCTCTTGATTCTGCTGTTGTGCAGTTTGTGCCCACCATCCGTTCTGGTAGTTATGCTGACATTGGGCCGCGTAGATACATGGAAGACGAGCATATAATGATAGATGATTGTCTTCTCACCTGGGATCACTTTATAAGTTCCCTAAACCCAGTGCATTTTATGGGGTAATCAACTTTTCAGTTTTTAGCTTGTATGTTTTTTAATTTCTTGTAAATGTTTTAAATCTAACTGGTGTTTAACGAATACTAGGTGTTTGATGGTCATGGAGGATCTGAAGCTGCCGCTTATATTCGTAAAAATGTGATAAGATTTATTTTCGAGGACGCCAGCTTCCCACAGTCATCTGAAGTTGATAATGTTTTCCTACAAGAATTAGAGAACTCCCTTAGGAAGGCATTTTTTTGGCCGACTCTGCTTTAGCTGATGATTGTAGTGTGAGCAGTTCGTCAGGGACCACAGCGCTCACAGCTTTAATATTTGGAAGGTATCCACGCGTTCCCCCCCCCCCAAAAATTACCTCTCCATTTGTCTAATGTGCTTGTTTCTCCTCTGGGTTTTTTGAGCTGCTCACCGTGAAGTTTCCAGGTTATATTCATTAATTTTCGATCTACTGTGTAGTGTTTCCCACTATCAATATCTGTATTGCCAGTCGCCGGCTACTTTGCATGCTTAAAATTTGTTGCGTTGCTGATTACTTTGGTTCTAATTTCAGGCTGTTGATGGTGACCAATGCTGGTGATTGTCGAGCAGTTCTTTGCCGTAAAGGGGAGGCAATTGACATGTCTCAAGATCACAGGCCTATATATCCATCGGAACGGAGGCGCGTTGAGGAATCAGGTGGTTTCGTTGATGATGGTTATCTTAATGGGGTGTTATCAGTTACTCGAGCACTAGGGGACTGGGACATGAAGCTCCCACGGGGTTCTCCTTCACCTCTGATTGCAGAGCCAGAGTTTAGGCAAGTGGTTCTAACAGAGGACGACGAATTCCTCATCATAGGATGCGATGGAATTGGGATGTTATGTCAAGTCAGCATGCAGTGAGTGTTGTCAGGAGAAGCCTGAGGCGCCACGATGATCCGGGGAAGGGCGCCAGAGACCTGGTCATGGAAGCTTTGCTGCTGAATGCGTTTGACAATCTCACAGTAATTGTTGTGTGCTTCACATCCCCTGATCACAGGGAACTATCACCCGCCCACAGGTTGAGACATTGTAGCCTTTCTACAGAAGCACTTGGTAGCTTGAGGAGCTTGTTGGAAGGAAGTGCTAGCAACTGAATGAATGTATATAACAATTTGTCAGATACTGGCATCTCGGATATTTCATTTTTGTTTTTCAGCTGCTTCTAGTTAAGAGATCAGGAAAAACAGCAAACCATTTTTTGGTCCGACGTCGGTTGATGTACATGGTTTAGGGTGTGGCTGACGGCGGTGTAAATATGAAGTCGAAATGATCCAGTTTTGTATGAATTTGTTTATTTTAGCGAATTTTTAGTCTTGAAAACCTCGTTTTTATTCTCGCCTTCTTGAAAGGCGAACTGGTTGCAATATAGGATGAAAAACGTGGTTTGATTGAAAATCATATAGCAGGCGGTAACTAAAAAGGCCACGAACCGACAGCAACATATGAAAGAAATAAAACTCTATCTTGGGAAATCAAGAACAGATAACGGCAAACAAGTGAATAACTAAAAGGCCACGCATGATATGAATCAAGATTCGTCTTAAAGAAGAATGAGCTATTGGCATTCAAAAGACGCTTCGTCACTCCACGGCATGATCATAATCTCCTCTGGCTTGTCCAATTGTTTCGGGTACAATAGATATAAATATAAATCCCCGGGAGCATTTGCAAGTGCAAACCTGATAGGGGGAAGAAAATATTCAAGACCTTGAGAGCAATTCTTATGCGTTATAGTTGTCATGAGCAAGATTACCTGTAAACATCAAGAAATAAGTAGTACCGAAAAGAAGGAGCCTTTACGGATTTCTGTCATAGCAAATGATTTTCTCCAGTGGATTTATCCAGAATCCAACCTAAATTTTAAGCATGCTGAGCTGAAGCCAGAGCAAAAAGTAAAACTAACTTCATACTCTATTTAATGAATTTGAATGTAGAATTGCATTTTCCTTTGATCCCATAATTTAGCAGGAAAAGGGAAGAGTTAGAGCACATCTTTGTTGAAGTCTTGGGAAGCCAAGCAAATGGGTAGATGTGGCTTCGTGCTCTCAAGCTTAGGCATTCGCTTCAATGTTCCAATATACTCCCTCCGGTCCTTAATATAAGAGTTTGTTGGACTTTTATTTTAGTCCTAAAATAAGACCTCAATCCACTTTGTCTCTCATATGTATTCATTTTTTTCCAAAACAGTCTTTATAATAGTAATAGTTCTAGCCAATACACTTGATTAGTAAAGATATTTTAGGAAAGACAATACTTATTTATTACAAATAACTAATCTAGTTAGTTTTCTTAATCTACTCAAATTAGCCAACTAGCTTTTATATAAGTACCAGAGGTAATATAATAAGATTAGAATTTCCATCAACAATAATAGGAAACTTTTTACTGAAAGTTAGCATGATAACTAAAATTTTTACGAAAATATAAAACAGTAGAAATTCAGGGGCGGATTTTAAAAAAAGAAAACTTTGAAGGTGTATTCCGGTGTCAAAGAAATAGGACAATCAAAATATAATAGGATGGTTACCATTTAGAAAGTCAGAAGGGCTCCGCCAGGCCAGGTGATTTAGTAGCTCTGTGCCAAACTAGCAAATCGTTCCAAGCCACGTCGCAGTAAGCGCTCAAGAAATGGTTGCAGTGCCTGCAAAAGATATTATAGAGGGAAGAAAGTCGGAGTGGATTAAAGCCATATTTAAAATTTTAAATGTCAATCTCCTGTCTTTCCCATTATTCTCTCTCATGACACGGGGAAAAGGTGACGAAATGGCATGAACTAGAACAATGTCTTTCAGGTTTGTCTTACCACCTTCCAATCGCTAATTCTGCCAGCTACCAAAGACATGGATTTTCTCTTTGTATTAACTAATTGTCTACTTCATAACTTCATTTTATTTACGTCTGACTACTTACCGATGCCACGGGAGCTAAGAGTTGAGGAACTTCGTATGATACTGTCAGCTGAAAAGGACAAATGCAGCAATAAGTGCTTGAATAAAGTTTGGCCTAGTTGAGATGTAAAACAGATGGAGAAGAGTCAAAGGGCTAAATATAATGGAAACGTGTTGATAGGAACAAATACAGGAAAATGATCCGTGACATATCTATGCATTTGCTCATGTGAGGAAATATTGCCAATAAAATTTTGGACAATTATGCTAGGGACATTAGATTGTGATTTAGATATTCGGTAAAAACTCAAGAAAACATCGTATAAGAAGCCTTACTTCTACTACACATGATGAAGGACTTTTTGGATAAAATCGAACAGCGCCCCTGTCATGGGAACAATCAACCAGTTAATTTTCTTTTGTGAGTACTAAATGATGTTTCAGCGCAAGATTAATTCAAAATCACAAGAACATTGTGGCTGTAGATTTCAATTATAACTGTAATGACATTGATGAAATTTTAACATGTAACCCAGTGGTACAGATGATTATGCAGCGTGTGCTTTCGAGCCAAGCTGAAGGCTTGAACAAAATATGTACGCTTCGAATTTTGTTTAATCATGATAGGAGCATAGATAGACAAAGTGTGACTGTTGGCTACCAGACTTCCAGTCCAGGCAGAAGCCACCATGTTTATCACAGGACACTTCAATATCAAGATAGAGAGATTTGCGCAACTGAAACTTTCTTCCCAGCCTTGTATGTCCCGTGTCGCTTATTCTGTGAAGTACTAGAAATTTCGACAAAAAGAAATTAATCATGTTACTAAATTATAGAATCGTCCTAAGTGTTGAATATTACTAATCGAATTAATAGAATGATTTATTATTTCTTATATTGTAGTATTATTCTCAGCCAAAAGCCTATCCTTGTAAATTACCTGTTAGGAAGACCTTCCAGTGATCGCCAGTGTATTTTCTGATTTGGAATAGGCTGCAAGAAGGTGAGATAATATTAATAAAAAAATTCCAACTGACATTTAAGATAAAGCAAAGAAGACCTACTAAGAAGTTATAATAGTATTATAGTTAGGATGGTGATCATTTCCTGCATATTACGGGCAAGCCAAGAGTATTCGATGTCACGACCGAATGCTTTATACTTCAAGGACCACCTTGACAGGTCAGGTTTATCAGGCAAAACCTGTGAAATGAACTGAACATTTAGCCAATTCAAAAATCATAATATGACATTCAACTTGTACTGTTCTGGCCGTTTAGTCAAGATTGCTGGTTTCAATATTCAAATTGCAGCAATTCGACCAGAAACAATAATGCACTGATGCTGAACTGATGGCCCACTTCACCCACAAGCCAAAGGGGAATGAATAGGTTTCAAACTAATGAACTGTCTCATTGGAGACGAAAATCCATTAAGCTTGTTAGGTTTCAAAATGTACTACCATCATTACATTTTATTGTCAAGAAAAATAGTAAGATGTGTATTACAGGTAACATGTGGCCAACTTCTCACCAGATCTTTATTCAATCAGTACATCTTGATTGCGTCTGTGATTGACTAAAAGAGACTGTGACAGAGCATTGAGATTCGATGTACGCACCGTAACAGAGGAAATAAAGGGCATCCACCGAGGGATGGCTTCACGATCAGAATAAAAATTATAGGCAGCTGAGGCAGGCACATCAACCTCCATCTTAACCCTGCAATTACGACATAGTTATCCTGTCGCCATCAGAAAATGATTAAGCTAGAAATTATACCAAAATCATGACAGTCAACCCAGGGCCTGCACATTCAAGTTGATGACATGACCGGTCAAATTCCCAAAATATGAAAATCATCCAACATAAATCGGAGAGAAAGGCATTTATTGAGAAAATATAGATAATGTAAATTACTCCTCATCAGTCCTGATACACTTCCCACTTCCTTATTCTAAATAAAGATATTTATTTTTCTTGATCATGAAACGAGGAATAGATAGAAGAGCGTAAACATTTATCGCATAAAATACAAACGAGAAGAAAAGGGGAAAAAGACGGAGGGAGATCAAAATTTGTGCGGGAAGAGGAGTTACGTGCAATCCTGCCACTCCATGACAGGGGAAAAGCGCCTGAAGCCATGGAAGGTTGAGGTCCGCGCAAATGACCTGGATGTTAGTCTGAGGAAGCGGTGATTGAGAGAGCGTGGAACCGAGGAAAAGGTTCTGCAAGAAGGAGTGGGGCCACACAAAACGGAACAGGTGGTTTTAGAAGAGGAGGACAGGTGGCCCAGATATGGAGACCCAGGACTTGAGATCGAAGTTGCGCAGACATGTTCTTTGAATGCCCTCAGAAATCAAACAACGATGCCGATGCAGATGGATAGTTGGGCTTCTAGTCCACAGCCACAAGCCGGGTCTCAGATTTCCCCCCGCTTCTTGCCTGCTTCTGACTCAGCTATGGTTCAATATTGTTGCCTCATGTTAATCACACGCTCAAATATCTGTTCCTGCACGGCTGTATCATAAATTCAGTATCGCCGATCAATCACGTGTCGCCTTATACCGCTTTAAAACCAGTATTGCCTATTGCCTATTGCCTATTGGCGCTGCCCGCCGCTCTGTCTCTCTCTTGTTTTATTTATTTATTTATTTTTTTGGTGAAGTGTCTCTCTCTTGTTTTAGGCCAAACTGCCCGCTGCTCTGCCAAAAATAAAATATTGCAACTGGATCGTAAAGCACCCGCATCCGACCAAGTGCCGATCCATCCCGACACCTCGAAGTTGTTAATGGGCTTCTTATGCGATTTGGGCTCGCCCAACCTGATTCGGTTTGCTTTTTACAAAAGCAAAAAGAGAGACTGATTCACTTTTAATCTAGCTCAGAATAAAAATTTTACCAAAATAAAGCTTAGAGCTATAAATAAATAAATTTTGTCCTTTTCTCACCTCATGAAATTGAAGTAACGTATTTAAAAACATTTTTAAAAGTTGATACACTGGCATTTAGTAATTACCAAAGAAAAAAGCTTTTGTAAGATATATTATCGAGCAGATTTGATGTGTTTTTAAAAATTGTTTAGTTATGATTTACATCTTGTGTTTAATAAAAATTATTTTTTATATTTATTATTTAAAAATAAAATTATATTTTAAGAATATTGATTGGCGGAGGGAATTTTTTTTTCCTGATGGATAAATTCGTGTCATTGGAATTGCCACGGCAAATTATGGGCATATTTTTCACATTTGTGTGTGTTCCACAGGTTCAGTCCCACAAAAAAAAAAAAAAAGCGTGTTCCCCTTGTTCGATTTCATTGGATCACCGTCACCGCCAACTACTTTTCGGCAACAGTGGCTTATACTACCTTCAGTCTTAATTATATGATCTTATTTGTAAATTACAAACAAAATTTTATAATTAAGACCGGAAGCAATATATTCTCTCGGTTTGTTATTATAAGAACTTTTTTTTAAAAAAATATTTTACCTTTTTCACGAAACGCTCTGATCTGTATTAAATACTTTTTTCTATGCATGCTCATATATATTTAATAAGAGTAATAAGAGCGTAGAAATTAACACGAGTTAAGATTTAGTGTAATTAATTAGAAATTAAAAATAATATTAAAAATTATCTAAATTTTATGATAAATTTAATGCATTTAAATGTTTTTTATTGTTATATGTAACTCTTATAATCAGAATTAGAGGACCTAGTAGCGTGGCGAGAGGCGCAGCCGAACTTCAGTGTTAAGAGGGGGGGGGGGGTAGCCGAACCAGTAATGATTCATCAGTATTCATCACATGCTTCTCTAACTGTTAACACTCTCTTTTCGTTGACGTGACTCACGATTGAGGCCCAAATCACCTCCCCTGAGGACAATCATTTCGATGGATCAAGTTTGTGGCAATAAGGCAGGTGAGACGATGCTCTCTCGGCAGATATTTATTCTCTCCCTCTCCCTCTCACATACGAGAAGAAAGCCAAACCATCTAAATTACATTTTTATTTTTGTGGCACGTATTAAAACAAGTACTCGATAAATTTGGAAGCTTCTCAAAGAGGATACCAAACATCCCAGATTTCAGAATTGCAAGGTTGCACATCTGCTGAGGAACCCGTGGCTGTAATCAATGGAGACCAAGCAGAGGTATGTGTTTCGAAATCACACACACTGCGTCTAATGAACTTGAAATGGCCGTTAACCTTGAGAATATGATTTTCTGGTTTTTGCAGATTGGAGGGTAAGGTGGCTATATTGACAGGAGGCGCCAGTGGAATCGGAGCAGAATCGGTGAAACTATTCGCGGAAAACGGAGCATCAGTGGTCATTGCGGACGTTCAAGATGAACTGGGTCACCAACTCGCAGCCTCATCATCCCCGCTTAAAGTGAGTTACCATCACTGTGATGTGAGAGACGAGAAACAGGTCGAGCAAACCATAGCCTTCGCCGTCCACAAATACGGCCGCCTCGACGTCATGTTTAGCAACGCCGGGATCGATGGTTCCCTCGCCGGCATACTGGACCTCGACCTGAACGCATTTGACAACACCATGGCCGTCAACGTCCGCGGCGTGGCTGCCACCATCAAGCACGCTGCTCGAGCCATGGTGGCTGCAAACACTCGCGGCTCCATAATCTGCACAGCCAGCGTGGCTGGTTCCAGGGGCGGAAGCGCGCCCTTTGGTTATACCGCATCCAAGCATGCTCTGCTTGGTCTTGTTCGCTCTGCTTGCAGCGAGCTCGGGGCTTATGGCATCAGAGTGAACTGCGTATCGCCATATGCGGTGGCCACACCTCTTACGTGCCGATATTCCAATAAGAGTGCAGATGAAGTTGAAGCCATTGGCATGTTTAGTGCCAATTTGAAGGGAATCCCATTGAAGGCTACTCATATTGCTGAAGCTGCCCTTTTTCTTGCTTCTGATGAATCTGCCTATGTCAGTGGGCTTGATTTGACGGTCGATGGAGGCTTCAGTGTCGTTAATCGTTTGCTTCTCGCTAGCGATTAAAACATCAATTAAATGGCTTTTCTCGGTTGTTCTTTAAGGTCTAACTAATGTTATTGCCAGCATCAATGTGTTATATGAATAAGCCCAGACCAGATGATATCGTCCGGGACAAGTTATTGCATGGAACCCAGCTAGAGGCGATGAGCTTGAAGATGTTCCCTCTACATTGCCAAATCGAAGGGGGATCACATTGAAGTTTCTACATACCATAGTGCAGACGCTGCTTTGTTTTTCTTGCCTCTGATGCATTGATTTGTAGTAGTGAATCGTAGTTTCTTCTAGCCGTCTCAATGTCTCATGCCTTCCTTCATGCTTGTTGATGAAGACTTAAAAGATAGTTTGAACTTTGATTTTGCTTTGTACTCACGCTTTCATGTCAATTTTCCTGTTCTTATCGGTCCGCAAGTCTATTTTCGCTTCCCCTTCCCTCCGCTCTAGCCGCCCTTCTTTTCATTTGTATCTAAAATGTCCCTTGGAGTGACATTTGCTGGCGAGCTTTTTGCGTTTTAACTTATCACATGGGTCAAACCCGTCTCTCTAATTTAGTTAGAATTTATTTTAGTTTTAAATATAAGATTTTAATTCACTTTATCTTTTATGTTTATTTATTTTTAAAATAGTTCTTGTAGTAATTACACATGTTAGAGATTTCATCAAATGATAGTTCTAACTAATACACATAATTAGTAAAAATATTTTAGAAAGACAATGCCTAATTTTATTAATCTATTCAAATCAGTCAAATAGATTTTATATTAATAACAAGAGGTAGTAATATTTTGTTTATGTTAATTTTTTATTTATATTTTTTTTCCCAACAACACATTGGATTCATAGCCGTTTGAATTTGGTATCCATTAAATATATACTACCTTCGGTCTTTCATATAAGATTTTGTTTTACTTTTATTTTAGTCCTAAAACAAGAACACAATTCACTTTCTTTCTTATATTTATGAATTTTTTTTCTAAGAGTCCTTCTAACAATAGTAGTTCTATCCTATACACTTGATTAGTAAGGATATTTTAGGAAAGACAACACTTATTTATTACAAATAACTAACTTAACTTCTTTCCTTAATCTCCTTAAATCAGTCAATTAGCTCTTATAATTAGAACCGGAGGTAATACTGCATATTATACATTTATAATAAATTTCACTCGCTATCTCTAGTGCACTTTTTTTTTTCTGCAAACAAAAATATACTTAAAAAATATGCATATGTTATCAAATGTGGATGTCCATCTCCCTTCTCCTCAACTTTCTCAACTCTCACTACTTCATTACTTATCTACTACTCCCTCCGTTTCTTATTATAAGAGACATTTGATGCTTATGGCATGTTCCTATATATAAGAGACACTTATAAGTTGTCTCTACTTTTTTGTGTTGATTTACTATTTTACCCATATTTATTATCTCCAACTCACACTCTCCCTCCTTCCCACTTCTCTTTCTTTTAATAATTTAATTGTTCTCCCTCATGCTCTCTCTCCCTATTAATGAGGGCATTTTTGGAAAAAAATGATACTTTTTACACATTAATTGTTCTTAACTAATTTTAACTTTTTTTTTTATCAACGTACTTCGGTTATTTGTCTCTTATAATAAGGAACGGAGGGAGTATGTTTTTAATCTCGTAACTTACCTCCCACTCATATTAATGTGGTTTATAATCCACTATCTATCATTTAAGTACAAGTATAACTTAAATGGAAGACTATATCTATAAATAGAGCATGCGTTGTATGGTGAAGCAAGTGAAGAAATACAATAGTTCTCTTTATCTTCTTGTTTTTATTTTTCTCTTCTCTACTTTTGTCGTTCCATTTCATAACAGTATATATTCTATATGTTTATTACTTTTATCTAAATTTAACCAACTTTTTAAATTTTTGTTATAACGAAAGAGTACCAGATTTTAATGAATAAGGCACCGTTTGGGTGACACCCCAAACCATGGTTTGGGTGATAAGTCACTCAAATACCCACCCAATTTGCACAAACCATGGTTTTGGAAAAAGCAAAAAAATTTTGCTTTTAGAGAAAAAAGGGAGAATGTGAGAGCCTATAGGATATGTATCTTGTTATTTTTTTATAAACATATTTAATTTTATATTTTATAAATATATATACATATTAATTATTTATTAATTATATTATCTTATGTATTATTAATTATGTTAATAAAAAATATATTATTAACAATTTTGTTCCTTCAAATTAAAATATATTATAAAATATATTTTTTTCTGTAATTATCATATTAACTTTTGTCTTTTTTTTAGTAATTTGTATATATAAAAAGTGCTTCTGATAATAACTATCCAAACACTCTCACTTTTCAAAATCACTTTTTCATAAAATCTATTCTTTCCAGAATCTATTCTTTTCAAAATCTATTTTTCAGAATCACTTTTCCAAATCACGGTTTGGTTTTATCCAAACACACCCTTAAACGAGCTCAAATTCAACAGGTCAGGGTGCATCTGCACATGGCTAGTTGCGGCCTATCGTCATCAATGACCCTGTGCTTTGGGAAGGGGTTTGAAAATCTATGGAACAACATTCCAAATCGTCGCTTGTTCCATCTTTGACACGTATAAAGTCATTATAGTGATCCATTGAATGCTTCGCTCAGACAAAAAGAAGTAATGCGTAATTGAATACGTAGGAATGAGGACCACCATGATGCATTGAATTGCAAGGCAATAAGAATTTTTTTTTGGTGAGTCAATAACAATTTATGTAAATTCGCCGGCCAAAAAACAAAAAGAATTGATTTAAATTCTGGTAAAAAAATTGATTTAAATAGTTTTAATGACAAAATTCTATTAATTAGAAGTGTCAAATCTTTTTCTGGCCAACATAAATGTCAAATCCATTTACAAGTAAGCATGAAAAATTATTAAAAGCTATGATATTTATAGGTGTGAGTGTTACGATTTACTCTTTTTTAATTTTATATATAAAATCTAATTTAGTTAGCTAATTCACAGAGGTAATAAAGATAAACTAAGTTGATTATTTATTATTATTATCATGTAAAAAGTTTATATCACTTGTTTTTAAAATACTCTTCTTTTTAGTAAACATTAAACGTGGGACTGGGGGAGACAAGACAAGGAAGGCGAGAAAATTATGAAAATGATGAGAAAAATGAGATAAAAATATTAAATAGGAGAAATAAAACGAATCAAAATTCTAATCGGTAATCAAATTGCATTCATCAATCATATATTTAAGAGTGAAGAAATGGTCTTTAAATTTTACGCAAAACATAAATTAACAGTTTCAACGGCATATAACTGGGAATTAAACATTCAGCCAACTATCTCCTTGAGAAAAGTCAAAAGGAAAAGACAAAGTGACTGCAGGCCATTCAATGTCTAATAGTAATAGTTAGTAATACAGTATCGCCCAGCAAAGTAGCCCCGTGCTGGCCGAGACCTATAAAATCTGGATAACACTCGGTCCCAAAATCAAACCCCACATTTTCAGAATAGCGAGGCAACACATCGAGAAAGCACCAGCTCTAATCAATGTCGACCAAGCCAAGGTACGAGTTTTGAAATCCCAGACACAAATTTCTAATGAACTTGAAATTGCTGAGAATATATCTCCGTGTGGTTTTGCAGGTTGGAGGGTAAGGTGGCCATAGTAACCGGAGGAGCCAGTGGGATCGGAGAAAAGTCGGTGAAATTATTTGCCGAAAATGGAGCAGCAGTGGTCATAGCGGACGTCCAAGATGAACTGGGTCACCAACTCGCAGCCTTGTTAGCCCCATATCAAGTGAGTTACCATCACTGTGATGTCAGAGACGAGAAACAGGTGCAGCAGACTATAGCTTTCGCCGTCGACAAATACGGCCGCCTGGACGTCATGTTTAGCAACGCCGGCATCGTAGGCTCCATGGCTGGCATACTGGACCTAGACCTCACCACATTTGACAACACCATGGCCGTCAACGTCCGTGGGGTGGCCGCCACCATCAAGCACGCGGCTCGAGCCATGGTGGCTCGTAACATCCGTGGCTCCATAATCTGCACGGCCAGCGTGGCTGGTTGTGTGGCCGGATGTGGGCCCCATGCTTACACCCCATCGAAGCATGCTCTCGTGGGCCTCGTCCGCTCTGCTTGTGGCGAGCTCGGAGCTTATGGGATCAGAGTGAACTGCGTGTCGCCATATGCAGTCGCCACACCTATGGCATGTGAAGCGCTTAATAAGGGGGAAGATGAAGTTGAAGCCATTGCCAATTCTTCCGCTAACATGAAGGGCATTTCATTGAAGGCGACCCATATTGCTGAAGCTGCCCTCTTTCTTGCTTCTGATGAATCTGTGTATATCAGTGGACATAACCTGGTCGTCGACGGAGGCTTCACTGCCGTTAATCGCTTTGTTCCTGGAGACCTTTCATGAAACTTTGGCTTTTTGCCTCGGTTATACCATCATGGATATATTATTCTCTAATCATCCCCCTTAGCGTTGCTGTACTACTTCCCTGAATAAATCCATGACTCATCAATATATAATAATTAGCCCCAGAGTTTTATTTTACTCGGAATAAATCCACACACCGAATGAAGTTCGGTAGGCATGATTTTTTTTTTTCAAAATACAACCAGATGATATTAGATATTACTGATTAATTTGAATTTCAATCTTAACCCCTTCTGTAGCCGAGAGCAAGTGCTTCATCAGTTCATCGTACCCCAGCCAGCCTTGGAATATATTTAAAATTTTTCCATGCCCTTTCGAATTTATGTCCCCGTTCTCATTGCAGCAACCGTTTGTTTTAAATAGTTGTAACTATAACATTCTACTGACTATCAAATGTGAAATCTTTCTACACGTAACGTAAGTATAAAAAAATATTAAACATTTATCAATTAAGTCATGTAGTTAATGGTGAATAAATTATCTTTAAATTTCACCCAAAACATAAATTAACAGTTTCACCTACATATAACTAAAGATTAAACACTCAGCCAACTGTCATAAACATCGAGGGTTTGCTTTTAAATTTCCCTTGACGTGCCAGGAGACAAATGTCCACGAGCAGTTCTCTGCGTAACCTGGACACGACTAGCATAGGTTGAAGGTGCAGGTCCACAATTAATGACAGTCTTTGTCTGACTGGAATTGCTTGATGATTGCGCAGACACATTAGCAGGATTAAGAGCAGATGCATTTCTGTTGCTGGCCGACGCAAACGTGCTGCGCCGCAGTACTGTTCCTAGATGAACCTTCAGGTTCATTTTTGGGCTTTGCTTGGCCATTGATCGATGCTATGGGAAGTGGAGGACAGGAGGAATCTTCCAATGGTGAACTCCTTGAATTTCGTCCAAAGACTTGGAGGTATCTTGAAGACAATTCAGAACTTGATGTAGATAAGGATTCAGACGATTGGATGCCTGGATCAGTATCAAAGTCCCCAAACCAAGAGCAACTTGTCCACTGCTTGATGCTGAAGGATCATGACTTGTGCTCTCTGCATTAGCTATGTCAAAACTGGCTTGAATGGCCAAAGGAAGTTCACTTTCACAAGGATCACGACGAAATGTCTGACCTCTTCCACGCTGTTGATCTTGTTGATTACTGTGTCTGTATCGGAAGCTAGCTAGTTGGTATCTTCAGGGAAAAGAATAAAAGCCAATGTAGGAGAATCATAGGGCAACGAAATCAAATTACCTGACAATTCAAACTGGTAGTTCCAGAACGAATGAGAAACAAGATAAACCAGAACGGGTTTGATAATCTAAAGCACGACATTTCAAATCATCAGGAGTTCTTGACATGTCCGAAACTGATTATAGTGCATTCAATATTATCAGCATAATTAATTGAACTGTAAGCTAATAAGAATTGATTTGAATAGTTAGTAACGATAAAATGTCAAATCTATTTATATGTGAGGATAAAAAATTATCAAAAGTCATGATATTTGCAGGTCTGAGTATTACGATATTTTTTGATTTTAAATATAAACTCAATTAACTAATTCACAAAAACTAAGTAATTTGGCTATTTATCTATAAAAATTATGTGTCACTTTTCTTTTAAAAATACTCCACTTTTTAATAAAGATATTAGATGGGAGATACAAGGAGGGTAGGAAATATTATGAAATTAATAAGAAAAGTGTGATAAAAAATATACTAAATAGAGAGAGAACCAAAATTCGAACTCGTAATCAAATTTTATTTATCAATTGTTAGGTCATATATATATATGAGAGCTAAGAAATGGTCTTTAAATTTTATACAAAACACAAATTAAAAGTTAAAAAGGGAAAAGTTACCTGTTTATAATTAAAAAAATGTGCACGGTTAATTAATTTGTGACATTGTCACTATTTGTAGCAAGACCCAAGTGCTCCGTCAGTTCATCGCATACGCACCCAAACTTGGAATTTAGAATCTTCCCATCCCCTTCCGAGCAGCAACCGTTTGTCAAACTTAAAATAGGCAGGTCCCGTGCCTGATGGTCAAAACTAAAACTACCAGTCACGCACCAAAATTTAAAACTCACTGGTGACTTCCGCCATTATAACCCAAGCGACTTCCACATCAGCTTCTTTTTCTGCAAAATTAAGCGCCAGGATGCCGGAAAAGAGGTAATCTGAACATGGCATTAGAGGTTGAGTGGTACGATTTTGTGTGTTTTGGCATTGTGGGAGTGGCCTTAATAGGAGCCTTATGGGTGCTGTGGAAGAAAGAAACTGTTTCCCGAAGACAGTATGACAGCAGATATGAGAGCCTCCTGGTAGCTCGACCTGATCATGAAGTAGACGCCACTTCATTGCCTAAAGGTCATGTGAGCGCCGCCCAGCTATGGACCAGTTCTTGGCGAGGCCTTAACCCTCTGTGGCTCTTGTCTACGCGTTTCACTTCTTTTCTTGTAATGGCCGTCCTCCTAACCTGGGATGCTCTCAAAAATGGTTCCGCCATTTTCTACTACTATTCTGAGTATGTTCTTTCTTTAACTGTTCCCTTAACTTTTTGCCCCGCCTTCATATACTATATAGCCAATTAGGGTGGTGGATTTGCTGATATCATTAATGAATGCCATACTTTGTGTTCTGCTTATGATATAGCATTTGGATTCTGGGACCACAGAAACTTAGAATTGATTTCTTGCAAATGAAGCATCACAATGTCTTTTTCAATATTATTATTTGGATTGGTTTGTTGCAAAAGTCAAATTCAACTAGAATGAGAGCCCGGGGTATATATATATATATATATATATGGGACCTCACTGACTTGCTGCGAAATTAAGAAAAACGATACTAGAACGAGATTCAATTCGACCAGTTTGAATTTCTTCGCATATGTCGAACTCTGAACACAATATGGGCTACGGGTACTGGCTTCGATGGCAAGTTCCTGCATGTGCTATGATTCTTAGTGTATCGGTTACAATATCTGTATTTCACATTTTGAACACCAAAGCAGAGCCCTTAAGTTACAAAGCCCTGTGGATTCCACGCTTGAGAAATCTCAATCCCGTGTGGCTTTTCCTATACAGAGCGTTCGCATTCCTTTGCTTGGCTCCCATTCAATTTATGATAGTTTCCTCGGGTGGAGCCTTCCCTTTCTATTTTTATACCCAGTAAGATGAATATTTCTTTTGTCAGTTTCTTCCCCAACAGAACTTATTAAAAGCCATATCATATCAACCAATCATAGTGGCATAGTGCCATTACTCTTTATCAAAACATGCGTTAGTCTTGTTTCCGGCAGCATGGACGCTGTTTTATTAATGATATTGCTCTCATCTGCAGGTGGACTTTCACATTAGTTATGATTTATTTTGCGGTAAGTCAATCACAACATCTCTCGTATTTGATGTAAATTCCATAGGTGCGCAACAATCTCGTCACGTTCTTTAGGAAATTGATTGGGGCTTAGGAGCTATATATGCACAAGACAGTAGACGCATATGAAGCAATTCTTGTTTTTCTAAAGAACTTTTATTGTTTCTCGATTTAGCTGGCAAGCGTGGTATCTGCATACGGATGCTGGCACAACCTAAAACCTTCTGAACATGGGGCAGAAGCTGATTATCTCAGAAGAGATTTAGAAGAGAGTATGTCCTCGGACACTGTGACTTATGAAGAGAAAGAAACCAGGGGTTCCATCAAGTTGCAAAGCCTATATGCCGGAGAGGAATTTCAACAAAGAGCAGGATTTTGGGGTTACCTCATGCAAATCATATATCAGGTTGGTCAAACATAAGACAGAACAGCCTAGTTCGATGCAGTAGTCTATCTATAATCATGCCTCAAAGTTTTATTCTCCTATTTTTCGTCTTTCCTTAGTCAAAAGAGTTCCCACCTAAACTTCTTTAGAGTTCAGACTAATATCTCTTATTTGAACAGATTTGTGGAGGGGCCGTGATCATCACAGATATCGTATATTGGGGTGTTATAGTACCATTTTTGACAATCTCTCGCTTAAAACTGAACTCGGTGAGTTTGAATTCCTCTTATGGGGGCACAGGAGGGCATAGCGCTTTTTGTTCCCCTGTTCTTGTGGAAAGAAGTGATTGAACTGATCTGTAATTCATCACAAACATAAAATTGACTTTTGACCTGTAATTGACAGTTGATGGGTTTCATGCACACCTTGAATCTAGCTTTCCTGCTTGTGGATACAGCTTTAAATGATCTTGTAAGCCTCGCACTCCATGAAATAAATCCAATCACTAATTACCACCAGACAACTCATTGATTTAGCACTGCCAATTTTTTTTTCCTCAGCCATTTCCCTGGTTTAGAATGGCTTACTTTGTGCTGTGGAGCTGTGCCTACATCATCTTCCTGTGGGTCGCTCATGTCTGTGGTCTTTCCTGGTAAAATGACTATTGCATCTCCTCATAAAAATTTGACTATTTTATTTCTCTCTCCTATGTTTTCTTTTTCCTAAATGCTTTCTTTTACCTATTCAACACAAATAAAATCAATTGTTATTCACGATTATTATTACTCCCCCAACAGGTGGCCATATCCATTCCTGGAGCTTGACAACCCTTGGGCTCCCTTGTGGTAAATCTCTATGAACCTATCTTCTTCCACTTAGTGTTTCTATTTGTAGAAAGGAGGATTTAGTGTTTCATGTATGCCGCAGGTACTTCTTCTTGGCTGCGTTTCACATACCCTGCTATTGGTTGTATGTACTCATAGTGAAAGCAAAAGATAAGATTCTAGCCAAATTGTTCCAGGATGCGTATTTAAGGCCATAATAGGTTTCTTTCAATTTTATTATTCTTTCGCACAGGGGGGTAAATATGTCCAGGGTTCCATTTTGTTTTATATCCATATTTATGCCCTCGTAGATCTGCTTGACATTGGATTGGTTTAGTTCTTCTTGCCCTTGAAAATATTGAACGGATGCCTTGTCATCTTCCCATTACCTTTTGTTCATATAAGTTCCATACCAGTTACCAGATACAAAATTTACGTAAAAGCTGCTCAAGTTAGCTTTTTATCATCCTAAAACGCAGCTCCACGGTCAACCTAAATCCCAAAACTGATATCAGAAGAGAAATAATATCGTGAACATCATTCATAAATAATAACACAACAACATTAAATATTTTCGCATCAATAAAGTGCAATCATAACGCCCTGTATTTGCATTTCTTGGTACACTGTAGATTGGGAGTCCCTTCTGCAATTTCAACCTACAACCTTAACTCAAATACCCGCCTTGTCCGAACGGGGTTCCTGAGCATCAAGCATAACCGGCCAGTTGCGTTATTAGTGAACTTCCTCACCAAATCCAAGTAGATGCTAGCATATTTCTCAAACAAATACATATAGGAACCAAAATGTGATGAATGCATCTCATCTGGCTATCCCAACCGAGGAGAACAAAATATATGGACTGATTGAATGCCAGCTGACTAACATTGCCGCTACGTTACCTCAACTCAAGCATCCTAAACACTGCAGGTAAACTTGCCTTGCAAAATATCATGAAAGACATAATCCCACTGAATACAGCATAAAACAGTGAGAGCCATATGCCAACAATAGAAACTAGGCGGTGGGCCTTGGGTCCGCTACTTGAATTGCAACCAGAGGAATTAAAAGCTTTTGGAATTTTCAAACTGAAAAAATGACTGAATTTTTTTGGGTAGACAAATGAGGCAAAAGCCCAAAGCAAACAAAGAAAACTACCAGGACTAACCGTGGGTCACTGCTACCCACACAATATAGAGCAAGTAATCTCAGCTTCGGGAGAGGAAGACGAAAAAAATGAAGCCATCTGGTTGTGATATTTGTCTCACTTGGACTTTGCCGCTCCCGTGAGATTTCTCTCTGTATAAGCAAACAAGCCTTTGAGGTGTTTCCCCACTTGCAAAGAGATTCTCAAGCATTTTAAGAGTAGAGTTCTCTCTGTAATAATCTTCTTTAGTCTCAAGTGCTTGCACAGTCTAGACTAGATAATATACGACGTAACCCAGCTTCAATATCATAGCAAACGAATTCAATGAAAATTTTACATTCATACATTTGTTGCATGCTCTCCTCACATTCTCCCAAGGTGAACAAGATGCCACGAAGGGACGTACGGAGCTAAACCCTTTTTTCCAAGAGGCATTCAAATATTAATTTCATACATGACATTGTCAAACTGATGATAGCCCAAGCGCTGAATTCAAAATAACTTTATAATGCAGAAACAGAGTAAGCCGCACGATTAAAGTTAGAAGTTGCTGTCTTAATGCTTTATTTTGCCCATTTCTAAAACCTGATGGGTGGCTTCCGGGTACGTTAAGAAATTGTTAGCCAATTGATTGTGTCGATGCTGTAAAGAGCTGATTCCCAGAATCTCTTTTCTGTTAGTCAAAGATTGACTCTGAATTATTTCCTTCCTAATGAAATAATAATGGTGGACAATGAACTTGATTTCAGCGCCTCATCCTCATCCTCGCCAGCGGCAATTTGTCAGGTTCTGAGGCTCTATTCCCCCCCCCCCCTGAAGAGTACTGAATTTCCATGTTTCTTCTGGTTCATCAATTCAATAGGTGGCTATTAATGCAGTAAGTTGATTAGGACTAATTATTCTATAAACTATACATTTCCCGCGTATAGCACATACATATGACTTATTAAATTACTTCAGTGCTCTGTTGTAATTGCCAAAATTCTATAAGCTATTTGGCAATAATCAGGACAGGAGATGTCGTCATCCCTGACATATGGTTTTTTAAAAAAAACAAAAAAACAAAAAACCATGATAGTCCATTTCTCTCTCTTTGCAATTCCCCACTATTGTGGCAAAATTGATCTGAATGATACGGTTCTTGTCCTTTCATGTGTGAATATAACTATATACTATATTATCCATCGGCCCGGCAGCATTTTAAAATCCAACTTTAGCAGCAGACGATTTAGATTTGAATACTGTCCAGTACACTAAAAGGCAAGAAGGCCGTGGGTAACAAGTCACAACTTAATCACTAGAATTCCTAAGCAAGCCAACCAACAATTATATATAGTGCTGCAGACTGGATAATGTTTAGCAGGTTGCGTCTTGCCTCACGACTACTTTTTAAGCACTCCTTCCACCATCCTCACTTATCATCGCATCCCCTTCCATTTCACGCTCATCTCACTCCGATTCAGTTTCAGATTCCGACCATCATCATGAATCCTCCAAAAGGCACCGTTGTATTCAACACTGTTGGGAGAACTCAATACGGTTTTGACGTCTTCTACGCCAACATCCAACACCCCACGCATCAGCTCACTTCCGACCACCGCCTCACCGATGGAATTTCCATCAATTTCAATGCTCAGTTCGTTGAAGATCACCGCAGTATCGTCTTTATCTCCGAACGAACTGGGTCTTCCCGGATTTATCTGCTGAACCCTGAGTCACCGAAGCCCCAACCTTTACCTTCTTTTCCTGAAAGCCTCTTTCATGATCATCCAATTATAAAGAATGGAAGGATTTATTTCACGTCGGCTCACGAGCAACCCGATCGTCATTTCCAAAGTTTTTCTGCCGTTTACTCCACTAGCTTGCATGGAGGGGAAATTGCTAGGCTGACTCCATATGGGGTAGTCGATTACAGTCCTAGTGTATCTGAAACTGGCAAATTTATTGCCGTCGCATCCTATGGATCTCGTCCGTGGGACGGTGATTTTCGGGAACTCAAAACTGACATCGTTGTTTTCAGCGAATCCAACCCAGAAAAACGTATTATGGTGTGCGAGAGAGGCGGATGGCCCACTTGGTCTGGAGACTCAACCATCTACTTTCACAGAGTAGCTGATGATGGGTGGTGGAGCATTTTCCGGGTAGATTTACCAGATTCTGAACAATCCGGGCCTCCAAAAACACCAGTTCGGGTCACTCCACCTACGGTGCATTGCTTCACCCCAGCGTCTATGCACGACGGCAAGCGAATTGCCGTCGCAACTCGTCGGCACGGGACAGATTTTCGACATATTGAAATTTTTGATACGGAGACCAAGACGTTTCAGCCAATTACTGAGATAATCAACCCAAATATCCATCATTACAATCCGTTCGTATCTCCAAATTCAGACTTCATTGGGTACCACCGATTCCGCGGAAAGTCGACCAAGGAGGGGGAGTCCATAATTCCCCATCTTGAGCCAGTGATGTCTCCGGTTCCAAATATACGGTTGCTAAGGCTCAACGGTTCGTTCCCAACCTTCTCGCCAGACGGCAATCTCATTGCCTTCAATCATGACTTTGATAAGAACTCTGGCGTGAAGATAATTAAATCTGACGGTTCCAAACGATGGACCTTGTTTGAAGGGCGTACATCGTTTTACAACTCGTGGAGTCCCACCGAGAAGCACGTGATCTACAGTTCCATTGGTCCAATCTTTGAGTCGCCCAAGACAACGGTCCAGATTGCACGGATCACATTCAACCCCTCAGATCTCACGGATGATCGCGAACACATACCCTGCGACATAAAAATTCTCACCAGATATGACACCGGCAATAATGCGTTCCCGTCATGCTCGCCGGACGGGAAATCCTTGGTGTTCCGGTCTGGTAGGTCTGGGCACAAGAACCTTTACATAGTTGATGCCGTAGAAGGCGAGCTTGAGGGCGGTATACGTCAGTTAACGAATGGCCCATGGATAGATACGATGCCAAGTTGGTCACCAAAAGGGGATCTAATAGCTTTCTCATCGAACAGACATAATCCAAAGAATACCGAGAGATTTAGCATCTACGTGGTGAAGCCCGATGGCTCTGGTCTGAGGAGAATTTATGTTGCCGGGAAAGAAGGTTCAGAAGAGGCGGACAAGGAGAGGATCAACCACGTGTGCTTCAGTGAAGACGGGGAGTGGTTTCTGTTTACGGACAACTTGGCGGGGGTGACGGCGGAGCCGGTGTCACTTCCGAATCAGTTTCAGCCGTATGGAGACCTGCACATGGTGAGGCTGGACGGGACTGGGCTGAGGAGGCTGACGTGTAATGCATACGAAAATGGGACGCCGATGTGGCACCCAGGGGATGAGATGGATATGGGCCGCTTGTGCTTGGGAGATGGCGTTGGGGATAAGGTGGAGGGGGATTTTGAAGAACCACTTTGGATCTCTTACGACATATGAGCTTATCCGCAAAATAGAAATTTGTGATGTCCCTTTAATTTTTTTAGCGTGGTGTTAAATAAGTTTGCTGATCCGGTCCAAAAAAAAAAAAAAGAAAAGGTTTGCTGTTAGTCCCTTTGGGTCCATTCCATGAACAAGTCTTCTATTTGTTTTCGTGGAGCGCTGGAAGCTACGGACGTTCAAGTCACATATGGTTTGCCGTTTCAGGCTGCTTTGTCTTTGTTGTCAAGTCAGCTATTGAGCAAATAAATTTGGGTTTCGTCAATCAAGCCTCGCCTGTTGACCCCACCGACGAATACCCAGTGTTAACCTTCTTCTTCAGCTTCTGGTTCGCCTGAATTTGTCACGCCGCGTGTGAAATTTATCGTCCACTTATTCTAAATATAAGATTATTTACAGTATAAAATAAGTCTTATATTTATTATATTACAAAATAAATACTCTTCTGATCCTTAATATAAGACTATTTAATTATATTAATAAAGTTAAGTAAGTTAGTTAATTATAAGAAATATGACATGTTTTTCTTAAAACACCATAATCATCTTCCTTAATATTCTCTCTTCTTTTTCTACTTGATTATGATTGAGAGAGGTTTATATGGATAATTTAGAAAAACTTGATAAATATGATAAATATGTTTTATATTTATGACCAAAATTAAATTAACAATTATATCCTATATTAAGAACAGGAGGAGTATTATATTTAAGATCAAAATGAGTATTAAATATGCGATTTGAACTTCACAAGAGAAGGATTTTTTATTCATAATAGTGAATTGACTGTTAAATTACTAACAGGATTAAGCCAAGAAAAATAGGGTAACACCAAATATTGCAGGTATTCGTGAAAACCATGTGGATGGAGTCTAAAAGTAAAAGAGGAATATAGTACAAGTCTTTTCGCCTTAAATTTAGAGAAAATCTCAAAAAAAAATGTTAAATTTTAAAATTTTAAATAAAAAATTACTACAAAAATATATTGTCATTTGTTTTTTAATAGAGTCATTTTTTTACCATTATAACAATCAATACTGATTTGAACTTTTAAAATTCAAGATTCATTTTTTTGAGAATTTTTCCTTAAATTTATGTATCAATTATTCAACTTATCAACTTAAATTTAAATATTATTTCAGCATTTTCAATGTATGAGACTCGTTTTTTTTTAAGATAAACAAAACTGCAAGCATTTTATTACTTATTATGATTTTCTTCAGTTAAATTACAAGATATAAGATTTTTGAACAATAATACATGAGGATGTGATTTTTATAAGTAAACATATTTTTGGTGAAAATATATATTTATTTCAGTTAAAATATTAAATTTATATTTTATTTTATTAATCTGAAAATTTAATAGTAGAGCAGGACAAAACATAAAACTATAAGTGTAACAATTATAGGGACGACGGCAAAAAAAGAAGTTGAAATTTTATAAATATCAAATAAGGAATATTAACAAAAATCTGTTGTCATTTACAAATTCAGACTTGTTAATACCTCCAATTTTTAATGTAAGATCTTGTTTGACTTTTATTTTGGTCCTAAATATAATACCCTAATCCACTTTGTCTATCATATTTATGTATTTTTTCTAAGGTAATCCTTCTAACAATGATAGTTCTAGCCAATAAATTTGATTAGTAAAGATATCTTAGGAAAGCCAACATCTATTTATTACAAATAACTAACTTAACTTCTTTCCTTAATCTTATCAAATTAGCTAACCAACTATTCTAATTAGGACCAGAGGTAGTGCCAAATAAAGTTGTGTTACCAAATCTGATTTGGGATTTATAATTTACAATTTCTTTTTCTGTCGTTCTCCCAAAATTATATTCATGTCCATTTTTAATACAAAGAAATAATAAGAATAATAATAATTTTTCGTTATATACTCTTCCGGTCCTTAATATAAGACTCATTTAACTAATTTGATTAGATTAAGGAAGTTAGGTAAGTTAGTTAATTATAAGAAAAGTGACACATTTTTCCTAAAACACCATAATCATCTTTCTTAATACTCTCTCTCCTTCTTTTACTTGATTATGGTTGAGGAAGTATTCATAAAGGTAATTTAGAGAAAATTGATAAATATAAAAAAAAAGTCTTATATTTAAGATTAAACTAACTCAAAAATTAGTTATTATATTAAGGACAGGAGGAGTGTAAATTTTGCTCCCTCCGCAGCAAAGCCACCAGTCTGTTCCCGGTTACGGTCGGTTATTGGGCGGGCTTCGTGGGGTTTGGTGTGGCGAGGCTCGTGGTTAGGCTGCGAATTTTCAATCCGGAGAGCTTTCCACATTAGTTATTTCTCGCTTCACAAAATTGTCTGATCCTCCCAACCTCCGATCCTTCTTTCTCTTCTCCTAAATTAGTTGCCTCTGCTCCTTCAACGCTGAATTACTGTAATTCTGAATCTTTAATTCTTTGTTCCTACCCATCGCCACCGTTATAAAATTATCAGAGTCAACGATTTAAACCCTAGATTTGTCTCCTGTGATTGGCCATCAGAGTTAGGGTTCTCGTTCTAAAGAAGTCATGGATGACTGCTGTGCTGTTTGCGCCGAACCTTTGGAATGGGTTGCGTACGGTCCCTGTTTGCATCGGGAGGTTTGCTCGACCTGCGTAGCTCGTCTCCGTTTTATATGCGACGATCGCCGTTGTTGCATCTGCAAGACCCAATGCGACTGTGTTTTTGTCACAAAGGTAGGTCGGTAGGGCATTGCTTTTACTGCTACAATGCGCGCTGAGCTTCCCTAATTTTTGGTTGGATTTATTTATCGGTTATCCCTGGCAATCAACCACTGAAGTCTGTTGTCTTGCATACTTGGGGGTGCTTCTGTCTGGCATTATTTCGATTACAGATGCCTATATTTCTTGGCGCGCATATAGCTCAGATTTTGCGTGGCCTAATGTTAGATAGGACGAATTCACATGCTAAGTGAACAGTTTTTGTGTGTGTAAATAATAATGCTCAGAGAGGAATATGCTTACAGTTAGAAGTAGGTTTAGTGTTCATCAACTTTAGGGCAGTAAACCGCTCATCTTTTTTGGGGCTTCATGTTAAATTTTTACTGTAGCACTCCCACTGCCTTTGTAGCGTTTCTATTTTCTCATTTACATTCTGGATCTCTTTTGTAGCATTTCCATCGCATCCTGTGCATGTCACAGGAATTATGTACTATTTGATAAATAAGGCTTGGGCGGAGATAGGTGTTATAAAAGAAAAGAGGGTTGTTTGCTACTTTATCCATGCCTCCTTACTAGTTATTGCAAATATACGATTATCTAATTCCAGTGCCCCAAGCTATAATAGCATAAATTTCCAAGTTCTAGCTCTCAGTGGAGATCAGTTATGTTGTCCTCGTTGATATGATCATTTTGATTGATGGTAACATAATCTCTTTTGCTACCATTTCAGCCATTAAGTTTTCACTTTATGAGTACTACTATTATCACTGTCATGTCATTGCCTTGACCATGACTTTATTGTAATTCTGACAATTTATGAACGGATGGGGGAACTTGTTTTATGAAATGGTTAAACATGTTGACCTGTGGTTATGTTATTCTAAATTGGTGGATTTTATGCCTTCTTTTGGCTATAAATGCATTCTAAATTTAAATAAAGTCTTCAAAGTTGATCCATCACTTGCTTTCCTCGTTATGGGGATGATTTGGAAAATTGATAAACTTGAACTGAATTTGCATGTCTCTAAGCATTTATTTCTAGAAATCTGGCAAGTGCTTTTTTCTTCAGTTGACTGGGATGTATTTCCACTTGTTTCTTAGATGTGTCTTAGAGATTCGGAGAGATCGTTTTGAACTGAAAGTCTGATGATGTTATGTACCACTTTTGTATATAGTAGATGTCTTTCTGTGGATAAGGTGGCATTTGATTGGCATATTGCTGAAGGTGCTTGCCTTTTTGACACACTATTGAAGCCACCACCTACCCTTTAACAACACTGAATCAACTGCCCTTGAAAGAGCTTATTGCCTCTGAATGAAGAACACAGGGGCTTTGTGTATATGCCCTTAAGCCATGTTTATTGCTTTGGGTTCACCATTTCATTTCATTCTATTTAATAAATAGGGCTATGTTCACTTGCATACATCTTGTGAATCAAGCAAACAGATTGTGCCCCATATCATCCTTCTTTTTCATAGAGGAGAGGTAAAAGAAATGATACAGTGATTGTGATGCAAACTCTGTATGGTTCCAATTTACATTGTTTTCTTTTTTTTCTATACATTGCATAAGGCCTTTAGAGCTTATTATTGCTTATACTAAGGATATATCTATTTAGGACTAAACCTGGTTTTCAATATGTTTGACAGAAAGCTAGAAAGTTGGCGTGGATTGCTTGATTTTAATTTATTTCAGCTGTTGTTGCATTTTGGCTCGAACTGAATTGCATTGGTGCTGCCATGGTTGCAGGCTCTAGGAGATTTTACAAGGATGATTAATAACTTCTCAGTGCTGCCATCAGATGCAAGGGAGGGTAAGGTGGGTTCATACTGGTACCATGAAGATACAAATGCTTTTTTTGATGATGTGGACCACTACAAGATGATCAAGGCCATGTGCAAGCTTTCATGTAGTGTATGTGACAACATGGAGGAGCAAGCACCTGATGCCTCAAAGCGTCGAGCAAGGTTTAGGAATATAGAACAGCTAAAGGGTCACTTGTTCCGCTATCACAGGTTGCTCATGTGCAGTCTATGTTTGGAAGGAAGGAAGGTAACACTCGCATATTTTGCATCTTAGAGGAATTTTGGGTGTTAGTTTCTGAGTTTTTGTTTCCCTTTAAATATTGACGCTGAAGATTTTTTCTGTGATGCAGGTATTCATTTGTGAACAAAAACTATACACTAGAGCACAGTTAAATCAGCATATAAGCACTGGTGATTCTGAGGTGGATGGAAGCGAGAGCGAGAGAGGTGGTTTTATGGGGCATCCTATGTGTGAATTCTGCCGAACCCCATTTTATGGGGACAATGAACTATACACTCATATGTCGACAGAACATTTTACTTGTCACATATGCCAAAGGTAACATCTTAGCTGACCATCTACTTTGTTAGATCTCATATTAATATGCTGGATTTAAATGTTATAAATGTAATCTTGAAATGTATACTTTTTGGTGCAGGCAACATCCAGGACAATATGAATATTATAAGAATTATGATGACTTAGAGGTAAGATATATAACTGTTGGTCTTCCTTTTAGCCTCAGAGTATATGGCTAAATCATTTGAACTCTTGAGTATTTGTGTAAACAGACCCACTTCCGTCAAGAGCACTTCCTATGTGAAGATGAAGCTTGCCTTGCTAAAAAGTTCATTGTATTTCAATCTGAAGCAGAGATGAAGGTGATTATGTGGACATTTTTTTCCTCTAATTTTTTTGGTCCTAATAATTTATTTGGTACATGTTTGTTATACATGCATAGTCGGATGATTTTAAAACTGGACAGATCATATGATTCATTGTCAGTAATGATTGAACTAGTGAAGTAGTGATATCTAAATATAGATTCTTTATTTTTGCTGCGGGCTTACCCTTCCATTCATTTTTAACACTAATTTTTCCCTGCTTGCCTGTTGCTTAGAGGCATAATGCTATTGAACATGGAGGGCGAATGTCAAGGTCAAAACGCAATGCTGCTCTTCAGGCATGTTCCTCGACTTAACAATTTTTCCTGTGAATTCTTGTTTATCTTGTTTCTCATTCGTTCTGGAATTACCGGTTTGAATTGTCAAATAATTCGATTTTGTCATCCTTTTATTCTCTTACATTGGCTTTTATTCTTTCCCCTGAAGATTCCAACTAGCTTCCGATACAGACACAGTAATCAACAAGATCAACGGCGTGGAAGAGGTCGGACATTTCGTCGTGATCCTTCTGAAAGTGAACTTTCTTTGGCCATTCAAGCCAGTTTTGAGACAGCAAGTGCAGAGAGCACAAGTCATGATCTAGCTACATCAAGCAGTGGACAAGTTGCTCTTGGTTATGGGGACTTTGATAATGAGCCAGGCATTCAATCATCTGAATCCTTAGCTACATCAAGTTCTGAATTGCCTTCAAGATACCTCCAAGCCTTGGGACAAAATTCAAGGAGTTCACCATTGGAAGATTCCTCCTTCCCTCCACTTCCCATAGCATCAATCAATGGCCAAGCAAAGCCCAAAAATGAATCTGAAGGTTCATCTAGCAATACTATGGCAGCACATTTGCGTCGACACAGCAACAGAAATGTATCTGCTCTTAACCCTGCTAATGGATGGCCAGTTGCGAGTCGTGGATCTGTGCAGTCATCAAGTAATCCTATGCAATCTAAAAAGTCAACAAATGTTGCTTCTGGAGTGTCAGGTAATTCCAGTCAGACAAAGACTGTCATTAATCGTGGGCTGGCACCTTCAACCTATGCTAGTTCTGTCGAGACTACACAGAGAACTGCTCATGGACATTTGTCTCCTGGCATGTCAAGGGAAATACGTGACAATGGTAGAATTGTTCATTCTGTTTCTGCTCCAAATCTCATCGAAAGTAGTCCTTTGCAGTCGGAACCCTCATTTTCTGATTTTCCTCCAGTATCTGCTACAAAAGTCAACAAGCTGCCTGCAACTAGCCAGTCTTCGACGATGACAAGTGCGGAGGGTGTTGATTCTGCTGCTAATAAGTCCTTGGTTGAAAAGATTCGTAGTGCTCTTGATTTTGATCAAGATAGATACGCCATTTTTAAAGACATCTCTGCTCAGTATCGCCATGGAATAATAGATACAGGAACATATTTGGATTATGTGCAGCAGTTTGGCTTGTCTCATCTTGTACTTGAGTTAGCTAGGCTGTGCCCCGATCCACAGAAGCGGAAAGAACTTGTTGATTCTTACAATGCGAGTTTGCAAAGAATTGCTTTTCAAGAAAATGATTGGGGTGGCAGTAGTATCCATCACAAAGATGGCAAGGTCTCCAAGAAAGGGAAAGGTAAAGGTAAAGGTAAAGGGAAGTCTATAGATGTTGAAGAGAGACACTTTAAGGATAATTTAGAAGATAGCTTTATAAGCACTGTACGTCAATTACAGTTGAACCATAAACCTTCGGAAGAGAATGCAGAGGTCCTATCAAAGGGTGATTACCGTAGTGCCAGAGGTAAGTCGAAAATTTTGGCTGATGAACAACTGATTGGTACAAATTCTCGTAGTGTAGCCAACCCAAAGCATGCTGAGCAGAGTGAAGCATCACTTGGCAAGATTCCTAACCAAAGGAAAGATGAGGGGGCTGGTGGGAGCAGGCAACGCAAAAAAGCTTCCAAGTTCATTAGAATGCGCCTCGGTGATGGTTCTGTAGAAGCATTGTTGGATCTTAGGAGTTCAAATGCCGGCTCAGATCCTGGATCAACAGAGGCCTTGGATGGTAATAAAAGCGATCCTGGGGGGCTGCCTGTGCGAGGTGTCTGGCGGAATGGAGGAGGTCATAAACTCTTTTCCTAGTTCTTTTTCTTAGTCTTGGGAAAGCGAAGGATTTCGTATAGTTGAGTTGGCCGGCAAAGGAACAACAGTTGAAATGAACAGAAGAAATCCAGAAAATTTAACTTGTATCCAAATGGGGTAGAATTTTTGGTTCAGCGAAGTCGTGAATTTCTGGCATGTTGAATGCGTAGTGTCATTTGCCTGCATGGGGGATTGGTTTTTGCTTGGTTCGACGTTATATTTTGATCAAGTGTTTATACTTCATATATACACAATGTACATGCGAGAGCACATTGGTTAGAGGCCAAGAGCTCTGTTTTCTACTGTTTCTGTTGCTGACGTTGGGAGTCGTGATATTTTTTTTTTGGTTGGTGAACAGTACATGGTTTGAGCCCATCTTATCATATCAGAGTCATACGAGGTAAGACATCCTCACAAAGTCGTTGTGCAAAAACATCTTCAGCTTTTGTGGTGGCTCATCAAAAACACCAGCACCTCCTTTTGCTGAAAGCTAAGATTAGCTAAGCAATCTAGTGTCTACCCTGCTCAAAACCTCTCAACTCGTCACAATTTCTAACAAAATTGACACCATCTCTAATGCTTCCCAACATATTAACAACGGCAGTAGAATCACGCTTTCAACAATTAAACATCGGCACCGTAATCTGGTAGCCAACCACGGCTCTACTTTTATTGCTAAACACGCTCCTTATTTCCTGGCAAATCCTTTGATTCGCCTGTCATCGCTCCCCCGTTAAACAAGAAAATCCATCACTTACAATTTCTATTAGATAGCTTTCCTTTCGTTCAGGTTTTTCTTCCTCTCGGGCAACATTCCTCTGACTTTGATTATATAAATATGTGTGTGTGTGTGTGTAGAGCCTTCATTACATTCACACACACGTGGACACGCTGTGAAGCACCAATATTTTTTTTAAAAAAAAATGTTCGTATTCGAATGTGATTACTTCATGATGCGTACCCATATTATATCATTTATATAATTATATTTTTCGGAAAAGATAGTTCTATCTATATTCTTCACTTGTTCACCATTTTTATGAGCACGTTTTCAAGAAAATATGAAAACGGGTGCAGAGTACAATCAGGCATGAAACTTGAGAGAAAAAATTGATTGGCATCTTCTTGTCTATTCTATTTTTCTTTTCATCAATGGTGGGTAGTCGGAACGATATATTATAAATATGATTAATTAAATATCATATTTTTTCGTTCTTTAATAATATGGTCGTCTGTTTTCTTACGCTAAGATATCTGAGGAGAAATGTCAGTGGAAACTTTATGACTATGTTGATGCTTCAGGACATTGGCATTGGGAGAGATTTCAACACCTCCTTCCACCAAATGTGAATCTCCAAATTGCAACGACTGTACCCCTGACATCTAACGAGGGGCCTGACTCTTGCTACTGGGACTTAACACCTTCAGGACACTTCACAGTCGCTTCGGCCTATCATGACTCACTTCTCCTTGACTATAGTGAGCAAAGCAGTCTCTGGAAATGGCCTGGATTGCAATGAGCTGGTGAGAGCTTTTCTTTGGCTAGCTGTCAAGAGTAAGGTCCTGACCAATGACAAACGAATGCGGAGAGGCATGACAACAGGAGGAATTTGTGAGCTCTGCCTTACTGGAGTAGAAGACTTAGACCACATCCTACTCATTGTCCTTTTGCGGTTTCCTGCTGGTCGAAATTGTTGACGCCATCCCAGGCTCAAACCTTCTATACATAAGGCCGCTTAAGGAATGGCTCTTTTGGAATTTGAATCCAAGATGCAAGGGCATACACTGGAGATTGATATTTGGAACTCTCACCTGGAAGTTTTGGGACAACAGAAATAAAAATATTTTCATGAATGATTCAGCTACACCTGAAAATATAATTATTTCCATCTGTACTCTGGTTAACCATATTACCCAAGCTAGAGATGTACTTGGACTAATTGATACAAGCGCCAAGCTGACTGCTTTTGTAATCTTCACATTTTGTTAGTACAATTCATTTCCATCCAAAAAAAAAGTGGTCGTCTGTTTTGGGGCTGGCGAAACATATATGCGGAGAGAACTGAGGCGGTGAGCGAGAAGACGTTATGATTTAAAAACAAAGCTTTGATCCCGTCATGTTATGTTGCCTCTGGGCCCTGGCTTGCCAACGACCCGGCAACCCTTCATAGAGATTTACCATATCCCAACACGAAGTTGCTCGGTGGTCGGTGCCAATTTTTTTTCTTTCATAATTCAATACCTATCATAATCGTCCGTCTTCCACATAAATGCATTGTGGCCATGTAAAGAAAGGCATTGCATTTTTTCGTGGGTGGCTCCATATCTTGTTATTTACATTTCAGGCATATACTACCACCAGTCATTAATATAAAATCTTAATTTGACTTTTATTTTGATTTTAAAAATAAAATCTCAATCCATTTTGTTTCTCATATTTATAATTTTTTTTAAAAAAATAGTCCTTGTAATAATGATAGTTCTAGCCAGTATATATTTGATTAGTAAGGATATTTTAAGAAAGACAATATCTATTTATTATAATTGGTTAATTTAACTTATTTTCTTAATCATTTTAAATTAGTCAACTAGTTCTTATATTTAAAATTGAAGATAGTAATATTGTATTCTTTTTTCGTTTCAGGGACACAATTTCATTCGTCGCTGGTTGGAATGTCCCAAATATGATCGATTGAATGGAATACTCGTAGATACCTATAGTTTTTTTTAATTTTTAAGTCGGTATCTATGAGTATTTTCTTTATATTAAATCATTTAATTTTATTTTCTTATTGCAATTGGTTTTTTTTATACGGTCTAATATTGTTAATAGAATAAATTTATAAAAATTAATGGTGTTAAAAAGGTAAAATTAAAAACTTTAATAAAAAAATTATATAAACACTAAATTGAGAGAAATATGAGTACTTCAGTAATGATTTTCCAACGAATGCCCTGACTAGACGTGAAAGGCGCACTAATATCATGACCCATTATCTCACCAAGCCACACACACGATCCTATCATCGTGTTAAAAAATGTGCATTGCATTTAAGTCCATGCATATTTATATAATCTGCAAAAAATATTTTGCATTTGTTTTAACACATCTCCTATTTTATCGAATTTTTATTTGAAAATTTAAAATTTTATTTTAATACGCTTTCAAAATGTTTAATTAATTTTTTTTATCAGACGAACGAATATAATTACGATGGATAAAAAGAAAAACAAAATGACAGGTATCCTTATCCTTATCTGGAAGGCTGGAATACCGGGCAAGAAAACTCGCACCGGATACCTCTCACCGGCTAGGATGGGCACGTGTCAGTTTCATTATCTTTTGGGAATTCTCTGACAACAACGCAACGGCTCCTGCGTAAGATATGCGTATCATCCAATTTCTCTTCCTTGCTCTTTCCATCTTCTTTTTCAGATTTTCCTTTATTCTCTTCTTTGGTGTCTATAAAAGGATAATTGGCAGCCCAATGATCTCGCCTCCAAGGGCAAAGCATTGCCAACTGCCCCCGCTTATTTGGCAGCCCACGCGCCTTACCGTTCCCTTGTGTGTGTGTCTATGTGTATATACTACCTTTATTTCTAAATATAATAGCTAGTTAAGTAATTTAAGTAGATTAAGAAAATAAATTAAGTTAGTTATTTGTAATAAATATGTATTTTTTTTTTTAAATATTATTGCTAATCAAGTGTAATAGAAGGACTACCTTCAGAAAAAGTACATAATATGAGAGATAAAATGGATTGAGGTTTTATATTTAGGACCAAAATAAAAGTCAAACGAGGTCTTATATTAAGAACCGAAGATAGTATATTATAATATTATTATTACATTAGTTGTTGCCACGTCAAATGCGTCCATGTTTGTCAATATAAAAAATTTGTTTTGATTTCATATATCAATGTAGCAATGTAAGGGCTGGTCAAAAAAAAGTCTACCAATACAGGTATGGAGTTTATAATAAGTCTCAATGAAAATGTATTGTTTTTATTTTATATGATATTACCTCTAATTCTTAACATAAGAATTAATTAACTAATTTGAGTAGATTAAAGAAATTAGTTAAGTTAGTTATTTGTAATAAATATGTGTTGTTTTTTCTAAAATATCCTTACTAATTACTTGTATTGGCTATAACTACTAATGTTATAAGGACTATTTTGAGAAAAAAATGAATAAATATGAGAGACAATAATAAAGAGTTTTATATTTAGGATCAAAATAAAAACTAAACGAGCTTTTATATTAAGCCAGATTCTACTATTTTAAACCAACTTATGATATTAGAGTGTTTGGCTAGCGGTGACAAGACTGACTTTTACTCCATTTGACTTTTGTAAATATGAGTTGGATTAAAAATCAGTTAATATAATATAATTTATATTTAGATTGATGTTTATAAAGCGTCAATTTAAAAAGTTGGATATCTTTGAATTGATAGTGAAAAAATAAATTTAGGTATAAAATGAATAAAAAGAGCATGGGTTTTTATATAAGACTTAGTTAATTAATTTAAAAAGATTTAAAATATATAAGTATTTTAGAGAGATTATGTAACATGTGATATTTTCACCTCTAATGGAGGCTTTTTCTTTTTTTCCCTCTAAATTTTATTATTTAAATTTTTCTCAATACTTGTAGATATATATATATATATATATCAAATTATTAGATTTGTTAGAGTAATTTTACCTTTTTTAATTGTTTTTTTTTTTTCTCCGCGTTCTCACCACAAAGCACCCTAGATTAACTTCTACTTTAAATGAGTATTTTTCCGAAAAGTTAATTTGATAAAAAGCTAATCCAAAAAATTATCTAAGTCCGTAGCTATGTACCATCGCCCGTCTCTCAAATTCCACCGCGGGTTTGCTCTCCTGAATGTGAATCCGAACACGATCTTAATTATCAGCAATATATGGTGATTTCAATGTTTGAAGTGGCACTTACCAGTAAAATGAGGAATATTTTAACAAAAAAATATTTGTTCATTTTGATGCAAGACAATCATAATAAAATAATCCATGTCACGCATCTTATATTCCACGTGCTATGAAACTGCATTATGCACTACTTAGCTTGTTCCAGAAATCAAAGGTGCGTGCTATGCATACGTAAAGGGTGTTTGGGTAATTAAGAAAATACTTTTAAAAAGTTTTTTTTTTAAACTGAGATAAATTTTTTCAGATATTTACTTGTATATTGTAAAATCACTTTTAAAATTATAATTTTTTTTATATATTACTCCCTCTCCGTTCCTATTATAAGAGACATTTGATGCTTATGGCATTGCCTATATATAGAGACACTTACAAGTTGTCTCTATTTTTTTGTGTGATTTACT